AAAAGAATAATAATAAATATCACAAAGTTTAGGTATTCAGCCAAAATTTTCAAGCTGAAAGTATGAGAAAGAATTGTCCCTCTTTTTACACATGGGGATTCAAGTCAAGAAAATCATCTTGAGGGAAAATGTTAAAAACCTTTTGTTGGCAGATGTTTAGCTTTTAGACAGTCCCAAAGACTCTCTAACAGAAGGAGTAAACGCCGCCCCCAAAAGGAAAAAAAAAACAATCCACTTTTTCTGGAAACACGACAATTTTTTCCGTTTTTTTTTTCCTGGAAAAGATAGGAAATTTTCCAAAAATTCTCCATTCTACTTCACAGGATTAGGCGATACACATAAATCTAAATCACACCAGGCGCTGCAGTGCCTTTGATATACTTCGAACGGTACTCGTCGTAAAACTGGTCCACTATAGCATCACGCGTCGTGCGCGGCGGGAGGCGGCGGGGGGCGGCGCGCGCGGGTCACTGACTCGCGGTCTGGTCTGCAGGCGGAGCAGCAGCGCGTCCCGCGGGTCACGAGCAGTGCGCGCCGCGCGGGTGTTGTGATTGGGGACGCCGCCGTGGCGAAAGGGCGTCGCGACGCCGCAAAGCGTCGCCGGACAATTAGTTAGAGGGGCCTAATTATTCAACTTGACGCGCCCGCCGGCCGGGCTACGCCGGCCCGGGACGGCTGCACTGGACTGGACACTGGTGGCGGGGGCCCGCCGGTAGGTCACTTGGCGGCCCGGGCCCGGGCCGGCCGCGCCGAGGACCGCATTCAGGCTCGTTTCGCATTCAGAGGCGGACGAGTGGTGGACTGGAGCCCGGCTGGAGGCCCGCCGGAGGCTCCAGTCGAGAGAGCAAGTGCGAGGCTTCTCAACGCATCTGCGCCAACACGGGCCTGCGGTGACTTGTCAAACAGTTCACGGCGGTAAGAACTGAGCGTTATGAGACAGTGTACACCTAATTTCTGATTATTTGTACGAAAAAGAAAACTATATTTGGAACTTCTTCAGACAAAGTCCAAAGTGAGGATTATCTCACTAAAAATTTTGGATTTTTTTTTTTATTTGGCAGACTTCTACAAAACCTTAGGAGTACTCCTTAAAATTTCCGCCTCTTCCTCAAAAAATTAGACACTGTTTTTAACATGTTATAAGTTCTTCTGAAAAACCTCTAAATAAAAAGCTGGAACACTTTTACTTTTGTTGCTTATTCTCACGAGGCAACCTACACACACAAAATACCCACTGAAGGTTTTTTGCCGAGAAATTCTTTAGACCTGCTCTATCAGGGTTACATTTTAAAGTCGTAGGGAAGCCGTTCTGGTTTGTTGTGTGTGTTGCGTTGCCGGTATAGTTAATTTGGAATGCTTGGGCCGAATAACTTGACGTCACGCTGCCCCGCCCTCGTTTCCCCTTGGCCCGGCGTCCCCGTCGCACATCTTGATCACGCCCATAGCGGCAGGCCGCGCGCCGCTGCTGCACCGAGCGCACACCTTTGTCTTTGAGGACGCCCCGACCATTGAACGGCCAAATTGCGTTACACATCGCCACCGTGCGACTAGCAGACTGTGAAATGGCGCTCCCCCCGGCCGCCGAGCCTACAGCGCCGTATCTCCGCCGGCCAGCGCCGCCAGTTGGGCCCTTCTCGTGCCCGCCAAGGGCCGGCTGCACTCCGCCACCGTCTGGCGGACATTCAAATGGCTCGATAATCAACCAATTCAGGCGACCGCGGTCTGTTCCCTCGCGGCGGATCGCGCGGCACAGGACCGTAAGCTTTTTGTTTCTGTCCCCTGCTAGCTCCTGCTCGCCCCGTCCTTCCATCCTACAGACAGAAAAAGGGAGATCCTTACCTACAACTCAATATTCTGATCAATACATTTGCCTCCCTCACGGAAGCACTGTAAAACCTAGGTTTAACTGTAAAATGTTAAGTGTCGGTATAGTCTCCGCCAAAAGACGGCCAGAATTCACTAGTTTTAACACACATTGAAAGCAATTGGTAGTGCCTGATTTAACATGGGAGCGTAAACACCAAGTAGTCATGCCTCACTCGTTAGATGGCCACAGACGTTATAATACAGCTAACTTTCTGTGCCAAAACAGGTATTCGGTACTAAGGCACGTTATACCCCTTTTAAGGTAAAAATAAAGAGCAATCAACCCTCTGTCATATCAATTGGAAGAAATTATTTTGGCCTTTCCGGGTCCAGGGCACTTTCGGCGGGCGGCCTGCCATGCGGTGGGCTGGGCTGGGCTACTAGGCGACAGCACAGACACATCAGGAATTTATTAAAAGCAAACAGAGCAGGGGAGCAGGACGGGGCGCTGTGCTGGTGGCGCAGCAGGGCGGGGTGTGGCGGGGAGGGAGGTACGGCAAGGGCGCAGTCCTCGGGTTGGGGTTGGAATTATCCAGCGACAGTCCGAGAGAAACTCACTCAAATGGCAAAAATAAAAATACTTGGTTCCTATTGGCGCAGGTGCCCAGTCGTGACAACCAACTCCTGGTTGTGGTTATCGAATTCTCGGTTCCAGCTATCGAATTTAGCCTATCAGAGTCAGATCCACAAAGTCATTTTTTTCGTGAAGGTGTGATTGTATGTATTCGTGTGTAGGGACGTATTTCTCTTTGTGCACATGCACCAATATTGAGCTTCTGAAGAAGGCGTTTAGAGTACTGACCACACTGTGGAAAAAGTGACAATGCTTTGCTTTTATTTTTAGTTCCATTCGGTTCCATTCGCACGAATGTGCGGTCATGACACTGAAATCCTGGTTATGGTTAAATAGGCTGGAAGGGGGAGTCAGGGGGTGATCGAACACGACCATTTGACAATTTCTAGTCGCGCGTGTTACTGCCAACGCCAACCGATGACCTCTGGCGTCCCAGACTAGGAGAGCTGGTCGTATTCTTGCCTTTCCATTGCTGGCACTGATTGTGAGGTGCAAAGCAGCTGAGTGATTGACACCTGTTATAGAAGTGCACTCAGAAAACCTTATCTTTCTCGGAACGAAATCATAACTTCATCTTAACTCACGAAATTTTCGTCGAAACACAAGTGAACAAGGCAAACAGCGTAACTACCTTTTACCAACGTAAATACTTCTGCAAAATTCCTTACTTGACCGATAACTTTTACACTACTACACATGACCAAAGTAACTATCTTAACATTTTTTACAGTTAGTTGCTTTTATTTTACTTTGACTCACTGGACCACGTGCGTCTCAAACGACAGTAAGACAATGAGCGTACTTTTTAGTTGAGACACGTTAAGGTTCCACACTTGTAAGTGTGAGACATGAATTGTTTCACACTTAACTGCGATACACGTGTGGCATTGCTGCAGAAGGTGTGCCACACTTACACTAAGTGTCGTGCCTTATCAGCAGTGATGTGCATGGTCACTGGTGATATGCACGTAAACACACCTGTTGCAGTTGAAGTGTCCTTGTGTAATAATGAGAGACGATTTGAAGTGGTCTAGCAAACAGCAAGATCACTGAGAAGATCACCTCCGCCTATAAAACCATCCGCTCTCAGCCAAAGACGTATCAGTGACCAAGCTGACTTCGCCACTTGCAGCAATGGCTTCCAAAACTTTCATTCTCTTCGCCGCAGTCGCAGTCGCTCTGGTAAGTGCCTTGACAACGACTGCAATATTCGAAATATTTCCGGAGTGAAAAATATCTTCGCAAATTGACAACATTTATTGGAAGTTTTATTTACGAAATATGTTGTAAATGTGCGACAACTAATTCTTGCTTGTTGAACGATTTTAAGTCGAGATAAAGAGGCTGTAAATTTGCAACTACAAACTATAATTTTACGACACACATCATTGAAAATTTTCCGTGACCAATTAATATCTCACAGTATTTCACAAAGAGATTATTTTATTTAGACTTGACCCTTTTTAAAGGGGTTAGAGCTAAATATGTACATGTTTTTTACTAATCCAAATACTTTGAGATTGACAGAAACAGTATATTTCATTGAATACACTGTGCTTTCAAATGTATTGACAATTGCCATTACTGGCAATGATAGTACTACGTTTTGGGGCAATAAAACGCCTTTTTGGCAATGAACGGAGCAAAGGCAATGGAACAAAAGCAACCTTTCCAGTGAAGTCGGCCATTACCATTCCAAAGGCAGTAGCCATTGCAAATTTTGGCAATGACCGATTCAATGCTGGAAGAGTATTACTTTTGTCCCATTGCCTTTAGCAAGATATTGCCACAAAAGGAAGTATACTTTCATTGCCTTGTGAAAAACAGTGAACTGAAAGCATAGAAATTGGCTGATCTTTGAATTCTAATCAAATTTGAATTGATCAAAAGGCAAAGTAAATAGGACTGACTAGACATGCCTGGTGAAATCGGCCTTTGAGGAATTACGCCGCAATGTAGACAACTTACAGCAATTTATTTGGTTTAAGATACATATTCTTTCAGCTGTTTTTAATTATAATTTGTATGTATAATTATATTTTGAATTTCATAGTAAATTTTTGTTGTGATGTCATGTTTGACATGGTGCTACACTGCAATCGAAATGGGCAAATGGGCGGCAGCCCCCTGGCATTTCAAAACTATCCAGTTATTTGTGATTCAGATTTTCTGTCTTGACATTTTATTGAGTTATTCTAAAGATTAGTGTCTGACAATCGATTTCAAAATTACATTAGTGCGGTCATTGACATGAACTTTTTGTAATGTCACAATGAAAAAAAATCTTTGGCAAATGACACGTTTTTCGTAGGGGTAAAGGTCCAATCCAATTTCATTCCATCTATTCGAACCACCACTATATGCATTTGTTTTCCCGTATCAAAGATATCATTGTTGATCACATGTATGCAGTCGGCGAATCGAATCGATTCTACCTAGTAATTTTTGCTTCTTGCAGCTGAGCGTTGCCACCGCGAAGCACTGCGAGGGCGGGAGACTCGACATCCTCGAAGCGATGATGGACGTGTGCTCGAAGTACGTCACAGGCTCGCGCTGGTTCATTCCCTCCCTGTGCAGCGGACAAGTTATCAACGAACTGGAAAAACAACCTCATTGCTCAGTAAAGGACGCTGTGAAACTAATGGGTGATTGTTTCGGAGGCGCAGCCGGAAGAGACAAGGCCGAGGCTTGCCTCCAGAGCGCTATTGACAGCGGAGTCTGTTGTTAACCACCGAATTTTACAATTTTGTAAATATAAATAAAATAAACTTACCAATGTGTGGTACTACACTTTAAAGTGTGACACGCATGGCATTGCACTAAGTGCTTGTAAATTTGCAATTTTGAATTGAAAGTGTGCGACATATCTTCCATGGAAAATTTTCCTGTCCAGTACGACAACTTTCAACAGTGAATAAATTTCACCGAGAGTAGACTCTCTATTTTTGCGCCGCAGGGTAGACACAGCAGCAGGTCCCTCCGCGTGGTCACTGGTGATATGCACGTAAACACACCTGTTGCAGTTAGAGTGTCCTTGTGTAATAATGAGCAGACGATTTGATCGACGGGTCCTATTAACGTTGTCCGATCTCCCCGCGACGCTCCAACGTCGTCCGATCTCCCCGCGACGCTCTAACATCGACCGATCTCCCCGTGACGTTCTAACGTTGTCCGATGTCCTTTTGCCGCGCGCTCTGCAGCGCTGTCCTCTTTTAATTACCAGTGGGGTAATATCGGCAGTAGAGGAAAAGTGAAAACTGCTATGTGTTCCTCAATCTTGTAGGACCACCTGGAAATTTTCACTTTTCCTCTACTGCCGATATTACCCCACTGGTAACTAAAAGAAGACAGCGCTGCTGAGCGCGCGGCAAAAGGACATCGGACAACGTTAGAGCGTCACGGGGAGATCGGTCGACGTTAGAGCGTCGCGGGGAGATCGGACGACGTTCGAGCGTCGCAGGGAGATCGAACAACGTTAATAGAACCCGTCGTGATGTGGTCTAGCAAACAGCAAGATCACTTAGAAGATCACTCCCGCCTATAAAACCATCTGCTCTTAACCAACTCCTGGTTGGGGTTATCGAATTCTCGATTCCAGCTTTTAAATTTAGCCAATCAGAGTCAGATCTACAACACAGTCATTTTTTTCGTGAACGTATGATTGTTTGCATTCGTGTGTAGGGACGTATTTCTCTTTGTGCACATGCACCTGTATAATATTGAGCTTTCGAAGAAGGCGTTTAGAGTACTGACCACACTGTGGAAAAAGTGACAATGCTTTGCTTTTATTTACAGTTCCATTCGCACGAATGTGCGGTCGTGACACTGAACTCCTGGTTGTGGTTATAGAATACTCGATTCTAGCTTTCAAATTTTAGCCCATCGAACAAAGTTGATCCCCAGAACAAAGCTTTTTTTTTTTCGTGTATGCCAATAAGCGTTACAAAAAACGCTGTGCGGTTTGTAACGGTGTCGCGCCACACACAGGGCCCACGACGACGACAGAATGACGGTGACAGCTAGAGTGGCGCATGGCCGCGCGGTTAGGGGTTGACGGGGTGGGCGGGGCGGACTGCGTCGTAATGACATGGAAAACATTGGTCTGCGCGCGGCGCGCGGGCGAGGCGCGGGCGCGCTGCAAGTCCTCGAGGGGGTGTTTCGGATCACCCCCCCTCTCTCTCTCTCTCTCTCTCTCTTCAACCCCACCCCGCGCTGGTGACACGCCGCGCCACGCCCGAGGCAGTGACATTAAGTGACATTATCGCGCACTGTTACCACACATTCAATTAGCGGGGGAAAGCAATCAGCTGCCGTGCTACCCGCACAAAAAGAGAGAGGGGCGCTTCATAAGCAATAACAAAATATAACAAGACGGTATCAGTACTCATGACTTTTAGAATTGTTTAGACACATTCTTACGGTTCTATCACAACAAAACATACCAACGAGGTTAAAGGAAAGCTGAAAAAAAAAAAATTATTGTATTGCGCTGTTTCTAAAAGTCCATTCGTAACTTGCCCATTTCTCAGATATGTGATTGCAGAGTGACACAGTCACGTGGTATAGTAGAGGTCCTCGCCGCTCGCTTTCATTTTTCAAATGCTCCAACCCCGGCAACCTTTTTTATTTTACCCCCCTTTCCTCCAAACACTGACACGCCGACCAGAGTTCTGCATCCCGAGGTGCCAACGCAGGGGCCACACAGCCACATCCACTCAGTCGGCAACGATTAATATTGTTGCACCCTCCACAGGGCCGGGGCCGTCCGCGCCGCAAAGCCTTGACAAACTGAGAAGCCATACGTGTGCGTGTGCGTGTGTGTGTGTGTGTGTGTTCGCGTGTGTGTGGGTGTGTTGAAAAAGGAGGGGGGGGGCGTCGCTCATGGGCAGAGCCATGGGGCTACCGCGCGCAGGTTTCCTTTTATTTATTCGACTACTTCCACACGATCCATTTGTCACCAAAGCCTTCGCTTGCCGCCACACATTCTATCACACGTCCCCCCGCGCACGTGGAGAGCAGCGAGCGCAAACGCGCGTCCCTCAACCCTTCAATTTCCCTTCATTTTTTATTCCGCCCCCGTCCCCTCCTCCTTCGTCCACAAAACAATCGTCATTGACGACCGCGACCGACATACCGGCCAATCGACCATCGTAGTGGTCACTGGCACAGCATCATCACAACCACTAACGGCCATCACCATCATCACAAGTCGTCAAACATGAGAGTAGTAAGGGTGTGTGATCCCAAACAGCAAAACCTAAACTAAGTAGTATTTGCAATTTGCGTGTTGTCTTTTTTTTCCCTGAAAAGGAGGTTGCAATTGATAAATTGTTGCAGAATACAATGGGAATTGGAGAGAAAAATATCAAGCAAGGGCAGCAGCAGAACAGCCAGAGGAAAAGAGAAAGGCAGCCAGAGAGGGAGGAGTGCTGGCGGGAAGCAAGAGGAAAGGTTTGTTTGGGAGAGGGAGCGAGAGAGGAAAGAGAGAGGGGGGGGGTAGATGAAGAGAGACAGAGAGAAAGGCCTCCCAAAAAATGGAGGCACTCGGCGGCGACATTTTTAATTCAACAGGAACTAATAGGCATGAAAAATGGAAGT